GTATAATTATATGCACTAAATGCTAAATTATCCGCTATTCCATCTGTTAGAACTCTCATAAATAATCTCAAGGTTTTTAACTTTTGTTCTCTCAATTTTCCCTTTTCTTTGGATAGCAGGTGTTGTACTTTAACCCAAGTATACTTGTTTTCTCTTGACTGTTATTACAGGTTTCTTTTTAATCCAACACCAGTCTTGTAGAAGTTGGTTAGCTTGGATGAGAACCTTTTAGTGCTTTGAGCATAAGTACTTTTAATTAACTGTTAAACTACCATAAACTAAATTATAGTAAACTAGGTCTTAGAGTCTATAATCAGCCATAGAAAAAGCTGTCAAAAATGGTCAGATTCTCAGAAATTGTCTAGATGGCATAATTTCCACTGGTTACATTTACATTCCTAGTATCCTTACTTCATATTATTAGACTATTGTAATGCCAGCATTATTCTGGACAATGTGTTTTATTTTCTCATACAGACTTTTAAGAAAAAATAAGAAGGAGCAAAACTTATCCAGAAAACAGATTTAAAAGGTAACTAAATATGACTCAATTTTAAATTTCCTTACCAAGTATGTTCCTCATCAAAGGTCTACAGCTGAGGGGATAGTAGAATAGGAGTTCTAGGAAGAGGAATTCAAAGAAGCATGTTTGAAAATTTACTGTCACTGGTAAACTTCACAAATTCACTGCCTGTGTTCTATGTTTATATATAGAAATATTTTTTTAAATACTTCTGTTTAAAAAGTTCCTGCCAATATTTATTGCTATAAATGCATTTCAGCAACCATTTATTGATATGTGTAGTGTGCTAGGTAGTGCTGGAGTTATAAAGATGAATACAATATCTCCCTTTCCCTTAGAGAGTTTGGAGTTTAGTCAGGGAGACAAGTAAAGAAATGATTTCTGTAATACTAGAATAGCTATGAATAGGCTACTTTGGTGGGTACGTAATACTGTGCAGGGGCTCAGGAAGGAAGCAGAGAAAATCTAAACAAACTGAAACTGAGTGTCACTTTTGAATTATCAATCTTAATTGGGGCATAAAAATGTCCTTATAGTGTGAACAATTTAGTTTGTCAAAGTCCAAGGCCTTCTATAAGCAACTTGTTTTTAATTTTTTTTTTGTGGTGTTGCAGATTGAATCTAGACCCTGTGTGTGCATGCTACGCAAGAGCTCTACCACTGAGCTCCATCCCCAGCTCTAGGTACTGTTTCAAGTTCTGAAGAGTTCAAAGAAAATCCCTACTTTAAAGTAGCTCTTGTTATGATGATAGGGGTGACATATAGAAGCATAGGTGGGTGGAATTATAACGAAGAAAAAGCAAAGGCAAGTTTCCATGTCATGGTAAAGTTTCTTTGATGGCTTTCTGCCAAATGCCAGACACTTTGCTAGTCATAGAGGATGTAAAGATGTCAAAGATATTATTGCTGCCACAAGGGTTTTATTTTGTTTGGCCTGCAAGCTAAGAATGGTTTTTATATTTTTAAGTGATTAGCAAAAAAGAAAACTGTTTATGAGCCCATGAAAATTATGTGAATTTCAGTTGTCCACAAAAAGGTTTTGTTGAATGCAACCACATCCATTTGTTTATGCGTTTTCTAGGGTTCCTTTGTGCTACTGTAGAATTGAGTTCAAAGACAAAGATTGTATAACCTGTAAATCCTAAAACATTTACTATCTGGAGATTTACCCCAAAACTGTCCTAGTCTCTGGACTAGTGCATTAGTCTCTAAACATTTTGATTTCTTACCCCATGGTGGGGGATTTGTTTTCGTGTGTGTGTGTGTATACTTTAAAAATATAGATATATTGGGCTGGGGATGTGGTTCAAGTGGTAGCATGCTCGCCTGGCATGCGCGGGGCACTAGGTTCGATCCTCAGTACCACATAAAAATAAAAAAAAATAAAGATGTTGTGTCCACCGAAAACTAAAAAAGAAATATTAAAAAATTCTCTCTCTAAAAAATATAGATATATATACACACATACATATATATAAAATTCATATATATTATGTGTGTATATTCATACACATTTGAGCAAGTAACCCCAGTATTTTAAATTATATACATATTGCATATACTAATATCATTTACATTATAAAATGTAGACATAATAAAGTGTGAGAAACATGAAATGAACAAGATTTTAAAAAATGATTGAAAATGAGTTTGTTTTTTAATCATACAAAAGCCTTTGCTGTCATGGTTAATAATGTTTTAGTGAGAGTAGTGTCAATGTGTCATTATTTTTTATGTCTTGCTTAAAAACAGGCAGCAATTAGAAGGTTTAGTTCCAAGATCATTTTATTTTGATATTTGGCTTAATGTCTTTCATAGTTGAACATAAATCTGACAAAGATACGTAGATCCGAATAGTTGCAAGTACATAGTTAGCAACACTTATTAAATCATAGTATTAACTTTCATCAGTCCAATTCATGAATCAAGTAAATGTTTCCTGCTGAACAGTGACTAGTAAATTTCCTTCTTTGTTGATGATAGTCAGTTTCTCTTACAATGAATCCGGAGTGTTGCATTTTTATGGTTTTAAATAAATGGGTTCAAAATGGGTTTTAGTGAACAAACGTGTCTTCAACAAATGTCATGAGAGAAATGGGCTCTTTCCTTTTTTTTCTTCCTTGTCTTTAATCTGTAGAACCTTATCTTCATGTTTGTCTATTCGTTCCTGCTTCAGACAATATATCCAACACCAGGAAGAAAGAGGAAGTAAGGGTGGAGGTGACTGATCTGGGAAGGGGGATGGTGTCCGTTGTCAATGTGTGTCTTTTTCAGTGAAGTTTGTTGAAAGAAGTTATTTTCTTATTAATTATCTTTTTTTGTGTGAATGATAAACGCCTAAGTCATGCTAAATTTCAGTGGTTTTAAATGGCTTTGAGATAACCAGAGATATCTTTTGTAAGGTACAAAATGTTTTCATGTTCCTTTCCTGTCTCATTTCAAAATATTGTAGATGTTCTATTGTATTTGAAATACCTTGGTTTATTTTAAAAGATTTTTTTAAAGAGCTACACAAAGCGGGAGGGAGGGTACGGAGTGTGCATGGGGGCAGGAAAGATGGTGGAATGAGATGGACATCATTACCCTAGGTACATGTATGACTGCACATACGGTGTGATGCTACATCATGTACAACCATAGAAATGTAAAGTTGTGCTGCAATTGTGTACAATTAATCAGAATGCATTCTGCTATCATATGTACCTAATTAAAATAAATAAATATTTTTTTTAAAAAAAGAGCTACAATTTTGACTGTGTAGCATTCTGTATTCTTTAAAATTCTGGCTTGAATTTTACAAGTTGGGCTACCTTATTCAAGAATCCTGCCCACTTATACTTTCCATAAAATTTCTTTTGTTAAAGAATAATTAAGTTTGGAAGTATGTTTTCTCTGTTATGTTGTCCTATCAGTGACTCAAAAGTGGTTTATTTATTCCATTATTGAAACAATTTAGCAGATACTATAAGCTGTTAAAAACAACCCTGTATTTTCATCCAGCTATGTGGTAAGCCTCCCACATCGAGTAATTTTTCTAATGCTTGCTCTAGCAAATTTTCAGCAATGATTTCTATGTGTCTTCTGACAGTATTTGCTGACAAGGGATGTATTTTAGTTGACTGCTATGCTGTTTTGTATGTATTATTTCATTTGCTTTTACCAAATGTTTCCTCCATGCCATGGGACCTTTTGTCTTTTGCTATCAAAGAAAGAAAATTCTAAAGAAGCTTCTAAGCATGTGTCATTAAGTTTATATGGTATCAATAAGGTGCTTGATTATCACATGATTCTAATTATTGCTGAGAAAATTGAAGAAGTTTTATTCATGCTCTGGATGCTTGGATTTTAAATAGCCTGCTAATTTGAGGTGGCTTTATACCATCATTAGCTAACATTTTAATGTACAATAAAGTGAGGGTTATCACAGATGATTGATATGCATCCGTATTTTAAGTAGTTACCTTAATAATTTCAATCTTGTGGGTTTGCAGTTTATTAGCCTTAGATTTTTGTTATTTTTGCTGTGTGATAAAAGAATCAGAATTATGAGTAGGAGAAATAGCAGTCTAACATTTTCTTGTTCCCTTGTACTTGCATTATTGGTATTACTATCTTCAGTCTGTTGCCTTTGTAGGAATCATTTATAGCTACTTTTTCATATCTTTAGGGTCAATTGAGTTAAAACTAGATAAAATAATCAATAAATCCATTAACCAGGTACATGTCAACTGCAGTATGCTGCAGTACAGAAAATAAATATTCATTGTACATACACCACTTTTCCTGTAAGCTCATGTACCTTTTGAACCTGTAGATCCAATGAGGGATCTAGTGGTTACTCTTGTGAAATATCAGTAAGTCTTCTTTTCCTTTTTTTTTTTCTTTTTTGAATAACAGTATTTCCTAAACCCCAGTGGGTCTTTTATGTAATCTCTGTACTCTGGAAACCATTGGTTAAAGACAAGCTCAGGCTTAAGGATTACAATAGAAAATAAGTAATATTTATGTTTTCTAATATTGAATCATGTTCTGAATTTACCCTCTTGATAATAAAGGGGGTATATGTAGGTATTCAAAGTTGGATCCTTCCAACAGGGCTTTGAAAGCAGAAATAGATGAATTTTTGTGCTGTACTCAGTAATATTCACTTAATATTGTGTCCTTTTTTCCTGCTTTGGGCTGCACACTATTTTCACAAATAATGTATTTGAACAACTTTTTTCCTTTATCTTTGTTTTCTTCCTGAGCTCCCATATTTTCAATGGTTATTTAGATAAAATTAACTGGGTCTTTTGAAAACATGAGGTAGTTAATTAATATCAGGTAGAATTGGCCAGTTAGTTTATTATGTAGAAAAATACCTGATATTTTCATTGGGATTTTAAAAAGAAGTGTTTTGTTCTTTCTAGCTAGAAATAATTATGGAACCAAACTAGAATAATTATTCAACATCCCTTTACAAAAGAATTAAACAACAATCGCTTCTCGGCCTTTTGGCTAAGATCAAGTGTAGTACAAAAGAATTAAACAAATCTTATAAAAATTCATTAATTTAGAACCTTAATAAAACATAGTTGTAATCATTGTTTGTGCTAGGATGTATTTTAGGTACTGGGGTGCCTTCATTCATTCATTGTCTTTAGAGGTACAGATCTTCCCAAGCCTAGAAGTTGAAGGATACTTGAATAATTACTATTTTAAGAAACGAAAGTAAGATGGCAAGCATTTAGTGCTGAAGTTGAGTTCAGATTTAAGAAGAGCAAGTGTAAAATTCATCCTCAAGCTGAAATCAAGACATGTTGCAGGAACAGAAATATATAATTTGTAGAAAATATATATGAAATTTATAACAGATATACCAGTGTTACTTTTGTCTTACAGGGAAGGAAGAGAGAGAAAAACATAGAAGGTTGACATTTGTCTCATAAAGCAAAATAGAAAACCAGAGGGAAAGAAAGGAAAATAGACATAATGTTGGAAGGTGAAGGGAAAACTAAAAAAAAATTATATTGTCCCCTACTTAATTATGGTAGTGGAGAGAGAAGGAGAGAAAGAATGAGAATGAATTAATTAGAAAACAAATGAATGAATAGGCAGCTGGCTTAACTTTTGACTTTCTCATATGACTCATTTTATGTAGTTCATTATTAAAAATTTTAAGAAGATATTGTTTGTGGCTAGGGGTGTAACTCAGTGGTAAAGTACATGCCTGGAGTGTATGTGGCCATGGGTTCAAACCTCAGCACCAAGAAGATAAAAAAGAATACAGTGTTTGCTGAAGAAGTGAAGGAACTTGTCTATAAAGAAAAATTGTATCACAACATATGTGGACAGAGGAAAAAATACTTTCTTAGTTGCAAATGGGGCTTTGAAGTATTATAAGTGGTCAGCTATTGTGACTTCAAAGAACATGTTTTTAGTAACTACACTCCTCATATATGGTAGATACATTAAATAAATGTTAAACAAGCTAAAAGCTTGTTTTTGTGTTTTGACTACTGTAAGAACTCTGTGTTTAGAAGTAGGTTCATATTCAATTAAGTTGTTTAGTGTTAATACTGAATTATGAGTATTGCTCTATTTAGTTTTGCTATTATATTATAAAGCTAGAGTTAATGATTTGGAAGTATCAGCTGCCTAATTAGTAATATGTTTTTATTTCTAGAAGGAGAAAATAAGTATGGACTCTTCTGTTCACATGAATGATACCCATTTTCAGTCAACCTATACAATAAATTTATAAATATAAAAATGTAGATGACTCTAAAGCAATTTAAAATATTTAAAGAAAATGTCCTAAATATCGCATTGGTTCAATAAATCTTTGTTTATTTCTTAGTACATTCCCAGAACTGTTCTTTGCTGGGAGTAAAAGGATAAATAAGTTCCTGCCCTCAGCTCAGTTTTGAGGAGAGAGAGATTTATCATGTAGTTTTAATGTAAGTGGAATTAAAATGAAAGAAAAGGATGAGCCATTTCCAAATGAGGTATTTTGGGGTGAAATCTTCCTGAAAAATTAGTGAGCATAACCTTGAAGTATAATAGTTAACCAGATATGGATTTGATGGGGAGCTGTGGTTTACAAAGGGAGAGAGGTGGCAAATTGGACAGTATTTCAGGCAGAGCAAGAAGCATCATGAACAAAGAACATAGTACTTGTAAGAAAACTATGAAGAACATAGTGTTATTAACACATAAGGGTAAGATAAAGGTTCTTTTTTTTTAAATATTTTTAAAAAATTTTTTAGTTGTCAATGGACCTTTATTTCATTTATTTATATGTGGTGCTGAGATTTGAACCCAGTGCCTCACACATGCTAGTCAAGCATTTTACCATTGAACCACAACCCCATCCCTAAAGATTGGTTTTTAGGGCTCGGGTGGTGATAACATTACTAATAGCTAGCATTCTTTGAAGACTAGTTAGTACATTACTTGATATGTATGATCATACTTAATCTTGACAACATTCCTCTGGGGCATATAATCCATTACCCTTATTGTCTTGCCTACTTTCCTACAAAATAATTTTACTCTGATGGCATGATCTCAGCATTGTGCATCATTAAAAATTGAATGGAAGTACATAGTGATGTAGAAATGACACTGGAAGGAGAGGAGACTGCTTACTTAGAGACTGCCAAAAGCAGCACACCACCCTCTTTGGCCTGAGAAGTATACAAATACACAACTTAATCTTGTCAGTATTCCAGAGTTGATTCTACTGGGAGGGTATAGATTCATGATAACCACATTTATTGGAGACTGCAATTTTACCAGAAAATTTGGAGACTGAAGAGACCTAGTCCAGCATATGTGAGCAGAAAGAATTTAGGGATTTTGATGAAAATGAGCACACTATAAATGAGCAAAATGATATGCTTAGCCAATAAGATTGTTAAATCAGAGGCCGAATTAAAGAGGTATACTACAACAAGATGAAAGAGATGGAAGTCTTTTCTTTCCTTGTGTTTATCAAACCACAGAATATTTGAGAGATAGTCATGGATGCTAATCGATGTCACATGAAAATAAATTGAATTTAGTAGCTTGAAGGAGAAAATGTCACCTTCAAAAAACATGTATATGGTTCTTGAGTTAATTTCCTTTTGTTTTATCTATTGTCCTTATCACTAGTCACTTGAAACACTTTACTAGCCCAAATATGGAACGTAAGAAAATCCATTCTGGCTACATTAAGTAGAAGATATTATTAAGGGATATTAAACAGGAGGGTTACACAAACAGGCTCTAGATACCATCATAGGAATAACTTCCAAAACTACACAACTGAAACACAGTCCAATTAAGGAGCTGTTGCCACCCTGGAACCACTTGGTCAAACTGTCTTAATAAAAAATCTGCCATCGATTCTGTAATTTCATGATTTCTGTTGCTACCAAACCCCCCCAAATGGATGACCTATTCATGGCCCATTTCCTCTAATATACTTCACTTCTGGATTTGCATCTCTTATAAATGCATTTTGTTGGTGGAGACTAAACCACATACCTGTCATCTAATTTTTAAGAGAGACTGGCAATTGTAACTTTTTAAAATTCTACTTTTGTTAGGTGGGACTGATAATGTGAGGATATATTAAAATATAGAGGCCAGGTTCAAATGATGTTGGGTAGCCAAAAAATAAAAGATGACCACTAGAATCTCCTAGCTAGTCTCATAGCCTTTAGTCAGATTTTCCTTATCCTTCATGACCCAAATCCTAGTGAGGACTTCTCTGACTTTTCCACCTGTCCTATGTGTTTCCAAAGAGTCCATCTATTATGTTTGTTTCCACTAGACCATGACTTATATATGTGTAGCTTTCCCTAAGTGTCAGGCATTGCTTTATAAATAATAACCTTTAATTTGAATATAAAAGCAGTCTCTCAAATTTATACTCTCTTAACCAGCCTCACATAGTCCCTTGTGCATAGTATACATCTGGTAAATAAGTGATTATAAAATTTAAAAGTAGAGAAGGAAAGAAAAGGTACAATCTTGCCACCTTAACACATTAATATTCTGTTACACATATTTCAAGTCTAGTCTTCCAAGGAAAAAAGCTAGCAAAAATTTAACTGTCCTAAGATGAGCTGAGCTGCTGGAGGAGGTAGTGAGTTCCCCGCCAGTTGATATAGTTTTAGAACATAGATGAGCATCTGTGGAGTTATAAAAGTGCTGTCCAGACTAGTTACTCTGATTCTGTTTGGATTCAACAATGCTAGAAACTAAGAGAGGGAGAGGCAGAGTGTATTTTCTGCTTTCTAGTAAGTTTTTAATAAGCTATACAAATGAAAAAAATATGGGTATAAGATAGAAAAGGTGAGAGTAGAGACAGTGATCCAGATGAGTATGGAAAAGAACTTGTATATATAACATGAAATTTATAGATATTGACTGTGTATAGTCATAAGAATCACTGCAGTGGGTACAAATATAGGTCAGGTGATGTTTGCTGTCACTAAAGTTAACCACGGTATACCTTATCCAAAGTGTGTGGGACCAGAAGTATTTTAGACTTTCACATTTTGTAGTATATGCATAGGCTTTACTGGTTGAGCATTCCTAATTAGAAAAATGAAAGGCTCTAAAATCTGAAATGTTTTCAATGTCATATTAACATTCAAAAGGTTTCAGAATGATATCCTAAAAGTTTTGGATTTCAGAACATTTTGGGTTTTGTATATTAGGGGGATCTGTATCCAATAGATAAATGACACTTTGTTACTTTTCATAGATTCTTTGGTTTTTCCACCACATTATCACATAGGAGTCTCTAAAATAGCTTTAGTATTATTCTTTGTCAATAAATTTACTTTATTGAAAATAGAATTGTCAGAATTACCGAAAGAATAAAGAAATAAAATATTGATTTTTTTAAAATTAAGATAAAATTTTTTAGACTCCATATATGACAAAGAACGTGAGGTATTTCTTGATCTTTCTGTGCCTAAACTTATTTAACTTAATGTCATGATCTCCAGTTTTATCCATTTTGTCACAAATGACAGGATTTCATTCTTTTTTTTTAACCGAATAGTGTTCACTTTTTATATGCACCACATTTTCTTTTTGTATTCATCAGTTGATGGACACTTAAGTTGTTTCTGTTTCTTGCTTGTTGTAAAGAGTGCTGCATTGAACTTGGGAGTGCAGATGTCTCTTTGACCACTGATTCCATTTCCTTTGCATATATACCCAGTAGTGGGATTGCTGGATCATACGACTGTTTTAATTTCTTTTCTTTGTTGTTGTTGTGGTACTGGGGATTGAACCCAGGGCCTTGTGCATGTGAGGCAAGTACTCTATCAGCCGAGCTATATCCTCAGCCCCATGATTGTTTTAATTTCTGAAGGAAATTAACTTTCCACAGTGGCTATACTAATTTACATTCCCATTAATTTATTTTCTCATAGAATTTGAGAATAGAATAGTAGTTAACAGAGGCTAAGAGGCAGTAAGGGGGAGATAGGATAGGGAAAGGTTGGTCAGTTAAGTCCTGGTGTTCTATTATACAGTAATGTGTCTATAGTTTAAAAATAATGTTTTCTATATTTCAAAAGAGCTAGAAGATTCGAGATCATTTTGGATATTCCAATACCATAAAGAAATGACAAACGTTTAAGATCATAGATATGCAAACTACCCTGATTCAATCATTACATGTATCCAAAGATGATATTGTACTCCAAGGATATGTGCAATTATATATCAATCAAAATTAAAACTTAGGAATGTAAAATAAATTAAGATATAATTCACATAACATAAAACTCATCCTTTTAAAGTGTACACTTTGGTGTTTCTTGGTATATTTCAAAGATCACCATAACAATCAAACTGTTTTAGAACAGTTGCATCCCCCCAGAAAGAAACACCATACCCATAAACAGTCATAATTTAATCTTCTTTTCCTCTTTTCTGGGCCTTGGCAACCAATAATCTATTTTCTAATTCTGTAGATTTGATTTTTTTATTGATGGAATCATACAATATGTGGTTTTTGTGACTGGTTTCTTTTACTTGCATAGTATAATTTTAAGGCTCATCCATTTTATAACAATACTTTATTCCTTTTTATGGCTGAATACTATTGTATATGACAAATTTATATGGATATACCACATTTTGTTAATTTAGTCAGTACTTGATGGACACTTGAATTGTTTCTACTCTTTGACTATTAGTAATAATGCTGCTATAAACATTCATGTGCAAGTTTTGGTGTACAGATATTTTCATCTTTCTTGGGTATATGATCTGAATCGTATGTGTGACCTCTCAAGAAATTGCCACATTGTTTTATCAAAATGGCTGGCTGCATTGTTTTACATTCCCACCAGCAATAGGTTAGTGTTTCCTCGACAACCCTTCTCTAACATTTGTTGGGGAGTGAACCCAGGACCTTGAACATGCTAGGAAGCTCTGTATCCTCCCCATCCCTTCCTTCCAACATTTATTATTTTAATCTATTTTATTCAAGCTGTTTTAGAGAGAAGGGGGATCACATTGTGGTTTTCCTTTGCATTTCCCTAATAAATAATGATGTTGAACATCTTTTCATATGCTTATTGGCCATTTTCATATCTTAAGAAAAATGTATGCTCAAATACTTTGCCCATTTGTAATTAAGATATTTGTCTTTTCATTGAGTTGTAAAAGTTTCCTTCTATGTGAGTATCCATCCCTTGGCAGACACAATTTCTAAACACTTTGGCCCATTCTCTGTGTTTTCTTTTCACTTTTCCATTTTGAAGCATAATCATTTCCATCTTGGTTTTGCAATCCCATCCAGGGTGTCTTTTTCTGTTGTGGGTGTTAACATAAGTGTCAAAATGAAGAAAAATAATTTGTGTAATGAAAGTGTTATATGTGTGCATATTCACAAAATAAAGGTGTATTCCCAATCTCATAAAGTTTACTGAACCTCAGTGTGTTCTTATAAGTGAATATTTTTCTGTCCAATGAGTCATTTTAAAAATTTTATAAAAAAATATTTATTTTAATTAGTTATATATGACAGAATGCATTTTGATTCATTGTACACAGTTGCAGCACAACTTTTTATTTCTCTGGTTGTATACAACACAGTATTGTATCATATGTGCAGTCATACATGTACCTAGGTAGGGTAATGTTGTTCATCTCATTCCACCATCTTTTCTGCTCACATACCCCCTCCCTGCCTCTCCCCACCTTTGCCCATCAAAGTTCCTCCCTTTTTTCCCATGCCCTCCCTGCTTTATGGATCAGCATCCACTTATCAGAGAGAACATTCAGGCTTTGTTTTTTTGGGATTGGCTTACTTCGCTTAGCAAGATATTCTCCAACGCCATCCATTTATCTACAGATGCCATAATTTTATTCTCTTTTAATGCTAATACGCCATTATGTATATATACCACAGTTTCTTTATCCATTTATCTATTGAAGGGCATCTAGGTTTCTTCCACAGTTTAACTATTGTGAATTGAGCTGCTATAAACACTGATGTTGCTGCGTTACTATAGTATGCTGATTTTAAGTCTTTTGATCGAGGAGTGGGATAGCTGGGTCAAATGGTGATTCCACTCTAAATTTTCCAAGAAATCTCCATACTGCTTTCCAGATTGCTTGCACCAGTTTGCAGTCCTACCAGCAATGTATGAGTGTGCCTTTTCCCTCACATCCTCACCAGTACTTATTGTTGTTTGTATTCTTGATAACTGCCATTCTGACTGGCATGAGATGAAATCTTAGTTTCAATTTTCATTTCTGTAATTACTAGAGATGTTTAACATTTTTCATATATTTGTTGATCGATTGTATATCTTCTTCTGAGAAGTGTCTATTCAGCTCCTTAGCCCATTTAGTGATTTTTGTTATCCCCCCCTAACTATAATTCTCTTTTTTCTTTTTTAAATCCAACAACTTATTATGAATTTTTCTTCAGGGATATGTTATGGATGCATATTCCCTCTTTGCCAGTCATATTTGCTTTCTTGGATAATAGTAATCCTAAGCAATTTGTATGTGTGTATTTGCTTTTGCTATCAAGTTAAACAAATAGCTTTGGTAGGGCAGTATAATGTATATCTATGCTCTAAACTGCCAATTTATTCTGTGGAATAGTTTAAAAATACCTTTTTCTCCCTGTTTACTGATTGACTTGGTAGTAATATAAACCTTGGGTGCATGGTAAAATTTATGCAAGGTTATGGAATCTAGAGTGAAAAATAATAGTGAAGTATCCAGAAAAAAAGAGTTTTGTTAGTTATAGCAGGAAGTATTTATTTAAGAAGTAGATTTTGTTAATATTTGTTATTATGGTATCTTAGGGTAAAAAATAATAGTGAAATATCCAGAAAAAAGAATTGTTAGTTACAGAATGACTTAATATTTTAAGACATAGACATCATTAATATTTATTCATCACTTTAGAAATGCTTAGGCAGAAATTTATCAATGCTCACAGTGAATGTTCTTTCTAACAGGAGGACATGAACCTTAATGAAGAAAAAAAAGCTCCTTTACGAAACAAAGATTTTACCACCAAGCGTGAGATGGTTGTCCAGTATATTTCTGCTACTGCCAAATCTGTAAGTAGAGAAACTTTCCTGGTACCAACAGAATGAGCTTAAGCATTATCTACTTAAAAGATGAACAAACCTCAGATGTTCAAGTTCTTGCTGCAATGTATTCAGACTATTTAGGAAACAATTTGTGTTTGATTTTTATACATTTATATATTTCAAAATGTATATATTTAAAAATGAAACTGTTCATCTTTGGAAATGAGAAGCTGTCATTATTATAAACAAGAAAGCTTAGAAAGGACAGCAGGCTCTTGAAGTAATTCAGTGAGTTTCAGGGCAGAGGCTTTGTGCAATTACTAAAAATTGACAGCATTTTGCAGGTATTTCACTTAATGTATGGATTGTTAGATAAAATTTTTGTATTTTGAGGGAGAATATAAGAAACAACATAGTCATCTTTAATTAAGTTGACATTAAAGCTACATGTCTGGTGTCTGCTTGCATGTAATTTTTAGCAATGCTTTTTAATATGCAGTGTTGTTGGCTTTTTTCATCATTTATGTAATGCAGACTGTGTAAGCTGCCTCATAATTGTTATTGTACAGCTTTGTTCAATATAAATGAAAGTGCTTAATAGGAACTTTAATCAAATCTGTGCGAGTTTCAAGACTTGAAAGTAGGTTTATTGAAAGGACTTGTTATCAATGGGAAAAACTTACTGTTTTAATAGAGTATTTTGTTTTTTTTTTCACCTCTTAAGGCACTTCCAAATTAAATCTTTGGGTTTAATTTTTTATGTAGAAACATGTATTTTTGAAAGGGCAAAATGTGTCTTTTACATGTCTATAAAGAAACAGCTTTTCATATTGAGAGATCATAAAATCAGTGGATGTGTATGTGTGTGTGTGTGAGTGTGTATATACAGTGATTTTATCTGTAGGTATATGCATATATATGCATGTAGACATGCACATTTAAAACATTCTACACTTGAAGAGTTGACAACTAAATTTCTTCATTGGAAAATTATATTCTAATATTATTTGGCTATGCTATTAATGCTATTAGCAATTACTGAATTTTGCAATTGTATTGATTCTATATTGTACTTTAAGCAAGCTAAATCTGAATGCTGAACTATTTAAACATAACGCATCGCAGCTCTGCCAGAGCAGAGCAACAGCATGTTTTTTAATTTGCTTCTGGTATCCAAGGGCAGAAATATGTTTCAAGTGATAAGTGAAATTTGCCATGAGCGTCGTTTTCAATAGAATTAGATGATGCATAGGGTTTTACTTTGAAATTCTGATGAATCTCTTCTCATTTTTGCACTCAAGTTATTGTTCACAGTAAAATGCTTTAGGAAATGCAGGGTGTACATTTAGTGTTATTTTTCAAATACCTAAAGGCAAGTATGCTAGTAAATCTATATAACTAAATCTGAATGCAAAGTACAGATAATACTATATGACTAGTCATATGATATTTTTAATGATAGGATTTTGTTAGTGTCTCTGGCTTATTTGGGTCGTTGTTTGTGTAAGTGGGACTGACGATAATGGAAATTATATATAAATGATGCTCTTCTACTTTGACCTTTTGATTAGTATCTGATCTGTATGAAGAAGTTGTTTGTATTTATTCTCATAGTTTCCTCTTCAAGTGATCAAGGAAATGCACACCTTAAGTTATATACTCATTTTTCAGATTAAAATGCAGATTTGTTAAATATTAGATGAGCTCATTCAATCTGCTTTTTTCAGAAGATGGAAATGGAATGTTCTCAAAAGACATGAAAATTTCATGTTTAAGTCACCAGCCTCAAAACCAGTACTACTGAGTATTTGTCCTTATTTGTTTCATTCAGAATAACTATGAGCACCTCATATATGCATAGCACATTCATAACAGTTCCAAGATTATATTTGTTTTTCATGGACCAAATATTATGATGGAAGAAAGCCTGTTGACAACTATGTTTTGAAGCTTTCTCACCTTGGGGAAACATTAATTAGTACTGTTTTCTGTCATTAAAACTCTGAAAATTATTTGTGTTATTTCTTTTTTAAAGGTGAGAGGGATGTGTATGTGTGTGTGTGAGTGTGTATATGTGAAAAACAATATTCTAATCCCTTGACCTTTTCATGATCAGGACAATAAAATTTGCACCAATTATTACTGAATGTATGACTGTTTTCCCACATGTAACCAGGCTTCCTTCCCATCCTGCTGTCTTTCATTAGGCTTTGGTTGTGCTTTGTATGTCTTGTACTTTTTTTACCCTTACTTTTGCATTATATTGATGTACTCATTAAAAATGTTTACTTGTTTAGGGCTGGGGATATAGCTCAGTGGTAGAGTGCTTACCTAGCATGTGTGAGGCTCTGGTTTCTATCCCTGGTATGGGGGGAAAGGTTTCCTCATTTAAAGCAAAGTTAAGGGCTAGAGTCCCTGATAGAAAAATGTTTTAGACTCAAGTGTAAAACGTGGCAATTAAAAATCAAACATAAATTGTATATTTTCCCATTTAGTCATCTGCATTAGTCCTTTGGTATGGGATCTAAAACCAAAAGAACAAAATGTGAGCTCAGTGAGAAATGTCCATTATGCTCCTTGGGTTCTTGGGTAAGGACATTAAAGAGAGATGAAGCAATATACAGAAATATAATCAAAACCTGTTTCTAAAGCAAACAAGACTCTTTTGTTGTATAATTAACTTTATTAAAATTAACATGGAATAAGAGAATATTAAGGAAATCACAAGATAATGATGTAAACCGTGACTTATTTTTTTTTCTTAATTCATAGTAGAGAAAAACCATATGAGTGTTATAGGAAAAAGTACCTTGAGTAACTCTGTAATGAGTGAACTCCAAATAGGTGGGTAGAGAAGAACCACCTGTCTGCATTTATCTCCTATGAGTTGTACTTTTTTTTTTTTTTTTTTTTTTTGTTGGTGGGAACCAAACCCAGGGGTGCTCAACCACTGAGTCACACCCCCAGCCCTTAAAAAAAAATATCTTATTTAGAGATAGGTTCTCACTAGGTTGCTTAGGGCCTTGCAAAGTTGCTGAGGCTGGCTTTGAACTCCTGCCTCAGCCTCCCGAGCCTCTGGGATTACAGGTTTGTGCCATTGGCCCATCATGAGTTGGACTCTTTGATTACTGTAGGAAGTGTGGTTATGGACTGACCTAGGCTAGCAGTATATGTGGATGATTAAGCCACAGATAACCTGGGAGACACTCTATTTTCAAAACATGAGCATGTTTTTAGAAATGGAAAACTGTGCTTTGTTAATATTGCAGAAATTGTCCTACCGATTCATAATCCTGAAACAGGCACAACATGTTGGAGATTTATAGAGGGTTTTACATATATTTAACAGCATATTTTGACACTTAGGAAAAGTTATTCACTGAAGTCTTAACATTAGTTTGCCAAATGCTAGTGACTTCATTAGAATACCAAGAATTTAGTTTATTTCTAATTTAAATCAGTCTTTGAAGTTGAGATTTTAGAATATGTGAGATTATATTTTTGAAGACATAGGAACCTTTGAGAAGAATCATTGATTTAAAAAATCTCAAATAATTTAAGAAGTGAAACCAACTGTATTCACAGATTTGCTAGACTTACTTATATAACAAGTACTTAAAAGTTGTAGTTCATCTGTATATGCGTGTGTGTATGCATTTATTATAGTTTTGCTTTTGTCATTATCAGAGACTTTCTTTCTTGGGTCATTTCCAGCTATGGTCTGGATATGATGAAACAATTAAACCCAGACATGACCAAACTAGTTTATTTTAGCTTCCCTTGGCTAATCAATCTAATCTAATGCTGTATGTGCTTTAGCTAAATGCAGTCATTTTGCAATCTAAATGAATCATTAAATGGCCCACATTGTGGTTGTTTCACTGAGTATAGACCTGCCTTAATTGTTGAGACAGGCTTGCCTTCTCTTTTTAGTCTTATGTCTGTGCTAAATAGACAAGGGACAAATACAACCTCTGTCTTTTTTGGTGGGAGGAAATAATTTAGGTCAATAGCATATCTTTCAATTCAGAAGAGTGTTAATGGCACCAAAGAGGCTTTTATTCAACTAAATAATCACTGACTGTAAATAGTCTGTTGAATGAATATTTAAGAAACATGCTTCTCCATTTGGAGATTCTTGGATTCCTCTGAAATAATTTACTTGGAAACTGTCATTATCTTTTTGCATCTTGTCATATCGTGTTTCATTTGGGATTCTTACTGGGGTTGCAATTAAATTTGATTTTTATTTTTAAAGCACTGGCTGAAAAATAGAATGCATCTTGATAATAACCGCTATCAGATTAATGGTTTTAGATTGTGGATTAGTTTTTTTGGGGACACTGCTTGATATTCAAATGTGGGAATCTGATAACAGTGATTTGATTTATATTTGGATTTTGGCATAAAATTATGTTTAGGACTGTGAGTTTACTTCTTGTTTTCTTAAACACATCTTTTCCTCTCAGATTCTCTTATCTCTTATCTAAAGCTCAATATTGAGATTTTTGGATTATTTCCTCCCAGTGAATATAAGCATTTATATTTATATATAAAATCTTCATTGTCCTCACATTATATAGAAAACTCTGATTTTATAATAGAAATTCTAGGATGACCTAGAAAACTAGAATAATAAGCAATCTTTCCTTGTAATTTTCAAGTATAAGATAAAACAATAGTATAACCCTTAAATTTATAACAGATAAAATGTTCCAATTTTCAACCTAAAGTTTACTTCTGAACTTAATGCATGACTTTAAATGTGACAGTTTGTTTTAAAACACCTTATTTTAACCTTAATAGTATACTTGTCATAACAAAGAAAGAAAAAAGGGCAATATTTGAAAATAAAATCTATTTTGTATTGATAATTTTTTTGAGGGGCTGTGAGCTGATTCCAGATTGCTATTAACTTTGCATGACTTGATATTTAGATTGTATTATAAGAGAAGCTCATTAAAATACATTCAAAAATTCTCAAAATATAATTATCCTTTATTTTGGAATCCTTATTCCATAGAGGACATATTTTTGAAATATGGTAGAAATGAATATTTATTGATTTGTTTTAACTTCTAGATCTAAAGTATTCAAAGTGTAAGTAGGGTTAACTGTTTACTAATTTACTAAACACTTCTGTGAAAAAGCTTCTGATTACTAATATTGTTGCTGTTTGTTTTTTTTTTTACACCATAACCTCTCTTCGTTGACCACTGCATGCAGATAGTTGGGAGTAAAGTTATGGTAAGTACAAAAGATGTGTTTTAACCTTAGATATAAATTTGTGCTTTGGGAAATTATGATTGTTGTTAGTATAGTATTTTATATGTTTGGTTCTTCTTTTGGCATATATTTTACCAAAGCAATGGGATTCATGTTAAGATCAGGTGATTAGGATTTATCTCTGTTTTGTTTTGGGATATGGTTTAGAATTAGAATGCTGGTATATTTTCTTAGAAGGTTTACCTTTTGTTTTTTGGAAGTACTCTTGGGTTAGTCTGTGTGAGTCTCATGAAATTGTATGTTGTACCTCAGTTTCTCAGTATGGCAGAGGAAGATTCCTAAAGTATTGGTTTATGTACATTGGAGTTCTTTTTTTTTTTTTTAATACCAGGAACTGAACTCAGGGGAACTCAATAACTGAGCCACATCCCCAGCTCTTTTTATATATTGTAAAAATTTGAGACTGGGTCTTGCTGAGTTGCTTAGGGCCTGGATAAGCTGCTGGAGGCTGGTTTTGAACTCTTCTTGATCCTCCTGCCTCAACCCTTTATCTCCCCTAGGCACTGGGATTACAGGCTTGCTCCACTGTGTCTGGCACATATAGGAATTCTTATTAGGCAATCTGAATTTGACTTTAGTATCACTGGGCATATAATGTAATGAAAATGACATTTGCCATGCAGTCAGGGGGCCTGGATGCTTGTTTTTGTTGGGTGCTATTAATCAGCTCTTTGAGTTTGGGCAAGTCATATTTATTTTGGGTTCATTTATTAAATAGATATTTTGAAATCATTTGCTTAAATTATCTACTAAGGGTTTTTTTTTTTCCTTTATTGGTTTTGTACTCAAGGTGTAGTATATTGTAGTTCTGTAATTATATGATGCACTACTATATAACAAGCTAAAATTGGCCTATATTGTGATTGAGAGCTATCTGTAATTTGCTGTCTTGATTGAGCATTCTTTTTCAAAAATTTTTTTAGTTGTCAATGGACCTTTATTTTATTTATTGATATATGGTGCTGAGAATCGAACCCAGTACCTTACACATGCTAGGCAAACACTCTGCCACTGAGCCACAACCCCAGCCTGAGTATTCTTTATTTAGAGAAAAGGATAGCAAACATTACCTTTAATATATTTGAGCACAGAGGTATCTAGAACAGTGCATGTATTAGTATCTGTTTTGCTTTTAAAAATATATTTTCTTTAATTCATGTGACATCTAGAGGGAAAAAAAGCCATCAACCTTTTGGAGTAATTTCAAAGATCAGATATTTATTTAGTTTTTTTTATGTGCCAAGAATTTTACTAGGTACATTGATTAGAAAGTTTATGTTAGATAAGACATGTTGAAATAATCAATATATTAAATTGTGCACACTACCTATAAGTGTAATAGGAATTCATAAGTGGGAGAGAGAGGGAGGGTTGGTGTAATTAAGGGAAAATTCATGCATATTTCTGGACCTAAGCTTGGTTTTCTGGAATCTTTCCTTATGAGGATTCACGGATTTGAGGATTTGGATTTCAATAGGGAGAAGCCCTCAAGATAGTAAATGTAAAGGCCTGGAAAGAGAACCACAATGTGTGTGGGGGTAGGAAAGAGGGAAATGAGATGAGGTTGACTTTGACTTTGTTAGAATGTATATTAGAAGGATTTATAAAACCAAGTTGAAAGAGGGTCTGGAAGTTCAGGAAGAATATAAAAAAAATTAGTTTGGGCAAGGAGTGATAGAATATAAACAGGATTTAAGAAACATACATTTGATAGGTATTTAGGTTAGATAAGGATAAAGGTTCTCAAACCTGACAGTGCATGAAAATGCAAATGTACCCCCCTCCCATCCCAATCCAGGATTGTGATTCCTGAGGTCTGGGAAGTAGCCAAGAAATTTGCATTTTTATCTAGCACCACAGGAGATTCAGTTAAGGGAGCTTGAGGAGCACACATTGTGAAATATAGTCATGCACCAAATAACCTTTTGGGGGTGGAGATGCTGTTTCCTTAAGATGGACCTGAAAAATTCCTATCAATTAGCATTTCACTATATATTTAGCTTTGTTTAAATACACAAGTTCTTAACACTGAATTTCAGTGGCCTACAGGATTAAGTATGGTAAAGTGGTGCAGTTTTATAGCCTATGAGCTGAAGGGGGAAGGGCAGGATGGAACAGCCCAGGACACACTAACAACTTTTACAACTCAATGAAGGGAGGGCCAATTCCTGGGACTGGTTACATTAGCAACAGGTTGGGGGTGGGGGTGGGGGTGCTGGTTATCTTGATTCGGTGGAGGAAGGGCTCTGAAAGCATTTCAGTCCCTCTGGGGGCAGTCTCCAACTTCCCAGACTCATTCAAATTGGCCTCCTTGATCTGACCTGACTCAATTTACCCATCTTTACAGATTGCCTGTCTAACTCTGGCTTCAATAGGACTATGTCAGAAGCCAGTGAAATATTAGAGATTCCTTCATATCCAATCAGTTATTAAATTCTGTTGATGATTTTTCCTAATTAACTCTCAATTTGTTACCTAAAGCTTGTTCTTTGTCCTCGATGCCAATTCAATAAAAAAGGACACATTTAAAAAAATATTTTTTTAGTTGCAGATGGACCTGTATTTTATTTATTTATATGTGGTGCTGAGAATTGAACCCAGTGCCTCACACATGTTAGGTAAGCATTCTGCCAGTGAGCTACAAGTATCCCAGCCTCCAAAGGGCAGATTTTTGAGAACTTGGAGAAAGAAGGTTTATTGCTTTGCTAGCAAAGGAGAAACACAGGGGACTTCAGCTCTAGAGGCTGTGATTCTGCCAATCCCTGAGAACAGGGGTTTTTAGAGAAGTGATTCATTCCAGGTGTTTCCTCTTCTTATGGCTGAATAAACTGTTGTATATATATATGCCATATTTTCCTTATCCACTCGTCTATCAATGGACACCTAGTTTGGTTCTATAACTTGGCTATTGTAAATTGTGCTGCTATTAATATGGGTATGCATGTAACTTTGTAATATGCTGACCTTAATTCATTTGGTTAAATACTGAGGAGTAAAGTAACTAGATCATATTGTGGTTCCATTCCTAGTCTTTTGAGGAGCTTCCATACTGATTTTCATGATGGCTGTACAAATTTATATTTTTCACCAACAGTGTATGAGTTCCTTTCCCCCCACATCCTTGCCAGTATTTATTATTGTTTGTATTCTTGGTGCTTTCCATTCTAAATTGAGTGAGGTGGAATCTGACTTTAATTTTGATTTATATTTCCCAGATTGCTAGAGATGTTGAGCATTTTTCATATAATTGTTGGCCAAGCACATGATGTTTGAATAGACCTCAAAGAAATTGGAGAGATCCATATAAATATTGAAGGGAAAGCTATGCAGAAAGAGAATGTCAAGTGCAAAGGCCATCATTTTAGGAGAGAGATGCCAAGAGTTGTGACTTTAATAGTCAGTGAAGCAGCTTAGAAAGACCTCATAGTTTTGAGCTATGGAATGACAACCTCTGATGTATATTTGGAGGAACATAAATGTGACAGTGGAAATTAGAGAGATTAGAGATGAGAGCAGGGAGATCGAACTAGGGGTTGTTGCAGTAATAAGTAATAAGACCCTGAACTGGAGGGTGGAAATATAATGACCATGCCATTAGGAACTAAATGGAGGGGGGAGAGAGGGAGAGAGGAAGAGAAAAAGGAATATATCAGCCTCAACAAATGATTAGAAAGGGCAGAAGAGATATGTGAGTCAATAATGATGAGATGATGAGTTCAGTTACATACGTAAATCAAGGAGAAATGAGTAAGATCACAAAAGCAGGAATGAAGTTTCACCATGCAATAACATTTTTCTAGCATCAACAATGTAATTATCTTGTTTCAGATAAGACTTTTGATATTTTAAATATTCTTTGTGCTATTTAATATTTTAAATTTACCTTTGATGAAAATGTTGGTTATCATTCGAATACCTTTTTCCCATTTGTAGAGGGAAGCCTGAACATCTTTACCAGGTAATCAAGGCTACATGCACATCTAGATGACTCAGTGAAGAGCTAAACATTTTGGTAGCCTGTGGTACTGTTTGTGAGATACAACTTCTTAATTAAAAGTCATATTTGTGGGGCTGGGATTGTGGCTCAGCAGTAGAGCACTAGCCTAGCATGTGTAAGGCCCTGGGTTCGATCCTCAGCACCACATAAAATAAATAAAATAAAGATATTGTGTCCAACTACAACTAAAAAATAAATATTAAAAAAAGTCATAGTTGTAGTTTTTGCAGTATTTCTAAATATCCCCATCATAGTGAAGGTTTAGTAAAAATGTCTGTTCATATACCCTAAATGAAGCATGAGACTATTAAGGGACCACTATTAAGGGACCTTTTTCTCAAAATAGAGCCACGTGGGTTTGTTTCCCCAGGCTGATGAAGAAGGTAATACCAAGAGAAAGTTCTTGTTAAAAGTATAAAGTTCTGGTCAGGTTCAAAGTAAAAAATTTAAAATACTATTGATACATTCTTACCATAAGCTTCCTAGTAATAGTAATATTCATAAAATACTACTGTGCATTTTTGTGGGCTGTTTAGCTGTTCCTACATGATTAAATTGAAGTTTTAATAGCTTATTAATAGAGTAGTTTCTTAATGAGTACCTCATATAATATTACATTTGTGTCAGGCCAATTATTTGAATATATTCTGCAAAACAAAATTAAATTTTATTTTGCTTTTTTGTTTTTCTTTTCATAATTGTGTAGTCCAGAAGGGGGAGACAAAACATTGATTATTGGAGTTTGAAGTAGTTACTTCATGATGATAAAACATTGCTTTCTTGGTCTCCAACTTGATTGTTTTTTTTTTTTTTCTTTCTTCTTATGAGTTTAGAAATTATGGGATAGTTGCTACTGTAAAATGTTTAGTTTTATGGTAGTGAGCATTTTGTTAAAAATCTAAATTCAATCAGAATGAAAATAATCAATGCCATTATTTTTAACTAGTATATATAAAGTAGAAAA